AGGTTGGGCTGACTCCCTATTGTCTGGTTCAATGGGCTGCGGGCAACCCACCTCGTATCCGCCCTCGCGTCATTATGTGTTATTGAAATCTTTTTTATTAAACACGTCTCTCTTATATAATTCCGATTTGTTTTCTGATCAAGATGGTTATTTAAGAAGCCATTTTTAATTACTGTTTTAGCATAATCTTTTGTAAAGTTATTTTTTATGAAATATTTAAGAAACTAAATCAAGATTATTTATTATTATATAAAATAATATTAGATATATGAAATATTATTTTTGTATTAGATCTACAAAGTATTAGCATTGTAAAATAATTTTATTGTTCGAATTTTAACATTTAGTAGAAAACTTTGTTCTCTAATTTTATAAAGTAATAGGAAGGTATGCATGCATACCACTCAATTCTTATTTATTTACATATCTAATATTTAAAATTAATTCTCTTACATATATCCCATCTTTACTTATGCATGATGAGATGCTTTTCATTTTTGAAAATGTGATAAAATTTTGGCAAGTTCGTTGGCAGGTGCTTTGTCAGTTGTAAGTCCCATCTAACTCGGGTTCGATCCCTATCGAGTACGATAGCACATACCTTATGGGTTGGTCTGGGGGCCTCTTCCCACCTCAGAACCAATCTTTATATATATATGTATATAATGGATACTATGTACGTGGAGTTGCTATCCACTGCCATGCACCTTAAATTTGCTAAATGAATCAATGCCACACTGACCAAGGCTGACATAGGAGTCGGTTTAATATTAATTTCATCAAATGATCACACTGAGAAATCTTATGCCCTCTATCTTTAGTGGTCATTCCTACACTATTTTATTAAATCATTTTAACAGATTTTCTAATGAGATGAAGCTAAGGGATCAAATAAATTACAAGCTATAGAATTAAGCAATTTCATGGCTTCAATTGATATTCTGACACACTATTGATATATCTGTTCGTTCTAATGATATGACATATTGAATCAAAATTAGTGCAAACTTTCAATCATAATCACATTAGTACCTTTAATATTATGTTTATGACCATCAAAATAAGCTCATATACACAACAAACTTATGGTGACAAAAAATACCATCTTTTGATGATAACAAATCTATGGTCACTAGTGATAAGAATGGTGTGAAATGGTCTCTCAATCAAAATGATTTAATATATGTTGCTTAGGTTAGCATTGACATGATTCAAGATAACAATATTGGCATTAACTATGTAAACACCTAATCATTACAACAAGCTTGATTTAGCTCATCTTAAAGTAAGTCTTATCCATGCTTATACAAAGATGATACCAGTGGATACAAATTGTGGTAAAAGCATCAAATTTTCTTATTATTTAATTAATTAATTTTCAGTGTAATGTAATTGACAATGAGAATTCTTGAACTTTAGTAAACATTGATATGACATTGGCTAAAGCAAGATCTTTTGCTCATGATTGGCCTTATAGGATGGCCAATTAGTTAGAATTAAAGATGGCCCAAACCAACCCCAAAAGGGTTGATTTGGCAAACTCTCTCTTAACCTTTAATTTGATCTACTCTCTCTTAACATTTAAATTGACCATCTTAATTGAACCCTAAACTCATGAATGGATAGCCCTAGAGAGAACACACTTACACATGCGAATGAATGTTTTGAATAGTCAAGTGAACGACTTAATTGTCCCTTCTTTTAAAAGAGCAAGCCCAAACAAAATTTGTATAAATTAATTTTTATTTATTAAATCAATAACTTGTATAAAAAATTATGACATGTCTGGAGTAATCAGAATCAGTTATTATCTTATCACTTCAATATATATATATATATACTCTTTCCTCCTTTTAGAAATAAATTATGCATCTCTTTTTGAAAATCTCATATCAAGATACCTGAATGCATCAGTCGCTCTAATTCATGCTTATGTCATCGATTGCAGCACAGCTGTTTTATCTTCAATGATATCCTGGTGTGATCTCAAGAGATGTTGATTGTTGGTTTTACTAATAAATTATTGTGGCTTTCTATAAATTTATTAACAGTCTAATTACTTCCAAGATCAATAAAAAATTTAATCATTACAAAATAACCCGTCATAATGTCAGATTTCTTGAACGTCATTATGCTATTTAGATTGAGAATTTCTTAAAACCATCTTTCGAGCATAAAAAATCTTTTACTTTTAAATTTCTTGTGCTTGTCCAGTAATTGTCATGATCCTTTTGAATACTAAATCCTATATGATGTGCATAACTGCGATACAAATTATGTTTTATTTTTTATTGTGAACTATGGTGGCAAAAAGTTTTCTATAATCGATTAAGAATTCGTGAGAATTGTATCATTACATGCAATTTCTAACGCCAAAACTTGCACTTTCATGTAGTGAGTAAAACTTGGTGTAGAATCATGTTGTACTCAATTATGCAAGTGTCAACATGATTGTACTAAAAAATACATAGAAAAAATTAATAACACTATTCAAAACAAGCACTGAAACATGATATTTAACATAGTTATAGTACAGATAAATAGGAATACAATCATATTATACCGAAGAAAATAGTATACAAATATCATATCATGTGTCAAAAAAATAGTTTACAATATGTTTTTACTTGAGTAAAAATGAATTACAATTATGTTATACTAAAATAAATGCAAAATATCTATCATATGTGAAAAGAAGGCATACAATATAGTTGTACTCAAGAAAAAAAGAGTACAACAATATTGCATTGAAGTAAAAAATATCCAAAATGTAATATCTTATATTAAAACATGGAGTACAACCTAATTTTACTGAAGAGAAATAGTGTAAAATCATGTCGAAGTCTTGAGTATAACATAGTTGTACTAAAAAGAAATATAGAGTGCAATCATGTTGTATTAAATTATCAACATAGTTGTACTCAAGTAAAAATGGAGTACAAACATGTTGTATTAAATTATCAAATGACTTAACAAATGAAATTAATCCACACATACAAATAAACATGTTCTTACAAAAAAAAAAAAGAGATTCAAATGATTCTTACAAAGAAAAAAAAAGAATAAATTATACACATATAGTTTCAGATAAATGATAAAAGTTTTATTAATTAAGTATATTAACAAACTTGTATTAGAAACATATTGATGAGTTCACGTCTATAATATCTTCAAGAGAGATGACCTCCAAATGATGCAGGTTAGCACTCTGTTTGTTCTCCATTTTCATGTCGACCTCCAAATGATGCATGTTAGCACTCTGTTTGTTCATCATCTTCACGACGATCTCCAGTTTTGTACTGCTGTTCCTTTCTCTTCATATTTTTTTTTTCTTTTTTTTTTCTTGATTTGGGCAATATAACTAGAGGTGAGCATTCGGTCGATTTGGATGAATTTTTTACAATTTGCCCAAACCGATTACAATCGAAATCCTCTAAATATTTGAACTAATCAAAATTTCAATAAAATCAAACCGACCGAATCAAAGTTTAATTTGATTTAAATGGCTCACTTATGAATAAACCAAAATTTAGTTGTCAGTTACCATATGACTTTGAGCAAACAACAAATTACATAAGTTACATATGTAACATCAATTTAATTTCATCATTCTACATTGAATTTTATCATTTTTTTTAATTCTTTTCAATTGGAATCCAAATATAACTCTATACCATCGCTCTGGACTTCGCATGTAAAATTTTCTCATCATAGAAGACATAGGTCCAACATTTGAAATGGCTACATTTACATTAAAAAAAAAAAAAACTCCCTAACAAAGGCTCAAATGTAATATTTTGATTTCACTGAGGGATTTGAATGTTCATTTAATTGGGTGAAATTATAGGCTAAACCTCCCTAAAAATAATATTAATATGTTGTCATAAACATTTCCATAAGAAATTTTTCATTAACCAAGTTGTTGCCTATTTAATAAATGTTGTAATATTCAACAAAAAAAAAGTAGAAATTTACATACATTCAACACAATTCTTATATATTTATATTTCTAACACCTACATTTTGATATTTACATTTATAACAATTCATTGTTTTCAACATCTACATGAAAGTGTATATTTCAAGTATAAAAAAGTTATAATAATGATATTTTTAATGTGATGTTAAGGATATGATTGGTGTACATGTAAATATCAAAGTTTAGTTGTAAGAATTGTTGTACATTTGTTAAACATTTGTGTAATGTGCATGTAAATAATGATTTTATTGACAACCAAATTATAAAATAGGAGCATTTACATGCATACCACACAATTGTTATGCATTTACATACCTGATGTCTAAACATTCATATTTACATGCATACCAATCAAATTCTTAACATTACATCAAAAATATCATCACTATTTTTTAATAGTGAAACATATATTTTCATTTACGACACCAAATTATTACAAGTGTTAATATCAAATTTTGACAGATAAATATTATGCATCTTCTTCCTACCACTAATTTAATGTGATTCTAAAAACCAATTATCAGCCAGTTTTTCACAACTTGCACTCCACCATATCCCCACAATAATCTAAAATTGAGGTGGTTAATGATCCAATTTAGAGCCGAGTTGGGATTAATTCGAAATCGGCTCGTTGTTCGCTATATACGATTCCGAGCCGAGCCGACTCGAAATTGAATTAAGCTCAACCCGGCTCAAATTGAATTATTTGGATCCATTTCAAGCTCAGAATCAACACAATCCAATATATATATATATATATATCATACTGCAACCCGATCTTGAGTAAATTATAGCCAAATCATATATGAAATGAAATGGGCTCGAAAAAAATTCAAATTTTGGCTCGCTCATTTATTATGATCTGATCTCCAAGTGAGCCAAAATTCGAATCTATTTTCAAGCAATTAACGATCTTCAGCCCGAATTCACAGCCTTATCTGAAACTGGATATTCCTGTAAAAAGGAAAATAATAATTAATCAATAGAATTAACAAAGGCTAAATATATATTGAATTGAACAAAGTTATATAATCTGTAAAAATAAAATCTATTAAACTGTCTCACTAAGCAACATCATCTCATCATTAAGATCTTACGGTTCATCTAATGATTCTTTTATCTCATCAAAAACTCATTTTGAGAATATTTTAAGGTAAAAATCAAGAGGGATATATTCAATATCAACCGTCCGATCACCGTACGATCGCCGGTGCAAACAGTGAGCTGCAATGCAAGCTGCTTCTTTCCTCTGAAACTCCACAATAATACAGCCAGCTGCAAAGGCTTCAGAGACCTCAGCCTGCACTTCTGCTGAACTCTCCAACTCTCTTTCTTCAACAAACTTCTGCTCTTCATTTCCTTCATGTTTTTCTTCAGCCGATGTGGGAAGTTTAGATATTAAATAATCTTCTTCGTTCTGGCCTTCTTCCATTGGAGCACTTGAGCTCTTGTTGTTTTCTTCAAACTCGACGTCTTCTCCGACATTTTCGGGCGCTTCGGCAGAATTTGGAATCCAGTTTTCTCTAATTTCGCCGAAATGTATGTCATTGGCCTTCTCTGTATGTCCGATGTGGGAGTCGACATTAGATTCTGATGCAGCCGAAGTGATGGCAGACTCTGAAGGTTTAGCAGCTTCGGACTTCGACTCATGGCTACTGCTGCTGTGCCTCACCAAGTGCACAGCTTTAATAGTTCCAAACCTGGAAATATTGTGAAGCCAAGAAGGAATTCAAATTAAATGTTGGATTCACAACCAAATGAAACTAATCATAGAAGCATATATCAATTCGTATGTATTTACATATCTCAAATTGCTCAAGGTATTGCTCTTTCTCCACTACGAAAATTCAAGTGTAAGATATGTAAAGACATAAGAATCGGTTTTCCATGATGCACCTTGCACACTCTAATCGGACATCTTCCAAAGTTTCCTCCAATTCATTTTCAGGCAGAGTATGGAGGTCCTCCTGATTGATCTAACTCAGATTGCAAAAGTTAAAGAAAATCACATAATATGAATTAATTGTAAAAAAAAAACAACAAAAATGGCATTCCAGTATTAAGTAAAGCAAATAAATAAATAAATAATGTCAAAAAAATAATTTATTTACCACATTATGAAGCCCAAGGACTTGGGTAACGTTAGAAAGAAGTGGTTTTGCATGGGGAGGAACTGAATATGATGGAGGGCTTGCATCATCCTCCTATAAAGAAGAAAGGGGCATTTACATGCATACCACCCAACTCCTATGTATTTATAAATCGAACACCTAAACTCTATTTTCCATATTTATATCACCCAAATCTTTCATATCACATAAAAAAAATATTACTACTTTAACTTTTAGAAATTGAAATACATTTTTTCACACACGAGTTAGGTGACATATGCAAAAATTGAAGTTTAGATGTTAGATATGTTAATACATAGGAATTAAGGGGTATATATGAAAATCCTCCAAGAAGAAAATCAGCAAATAAACTCAGCCAGCCTTGAAGGGTTAGAAAAACTTAAAAGGGAGAATCACAACACCTTTCCATTGAGATCAGGAAAAGCTCTAACCGCAGTAAGAATGGAGCCACCCAACATCAATCCATTAAGCCCAGAACATGCCTTCGAAGTGATGGAATGATCTTCATACTGCAATAGGGAAACACGAAAGGGGCATTTACACAAATACTACCCAATCCTTATGTATTTACATATCTAACACCTAAATTTTAATTTTTACATTTAAACCACACAAATGTTTCGTGTTACATTAAACATAACACCATTTTAAATCTTAAAAAGTGAAAAACACCTTTTCATGCATAGGGAAGATGTCATATATGTAAAAACCAAAGTTTAGTTGTTAGATATGTAAATACATAAGAATTGAATGGTATGTATGTAAATCTTCCAACGCAAAAACATGATTAAAATTCACACTCATGCAATCTTTGATATTCAAAATCTAAATATACCTCTAAAAAGGCGCATGGAGATTCAAGCTCCTTATTGAAGTTGAAGCGAAAAGCCTTCAACGGCCCGAAAGAACTCACAATTTCCATAAACTACAAATTCGTAAAAGAGATATTAGAGATTTCTAAATATCAAAGATGTCGAACAAAATTGTATATTTACCACTGCAGAGTCGACGAAGGATCCCAAGTATCCTACAAAACATAGGGAAACTAATAGAAAACTTACCATTTTGGATGAAAGAATGTCTGAAATTCCGCCAACAAAAATCTGCAAAAGAAGAAAAGCAATCGGTAAACTTATAGAGGCATTTCCATACGTATCACTTAATTCCTATGTATTTACATATCTAACATTTAAAGTTTACTTTTTACATTTATACCACCTAATCCTTTCATATCACATCAAAAATACCACCATTTCAACTTTTAAAAAAATGAAAATACACATTTTAGCGCATAGGAAGGTGGCATGTAGGTAAAAATTGAAGTTTAGGTGTTAGATATGTAAATACATAAAACTTTAGTAGTATGTATGTAAAGCTTCCAATTTTATAACGTAAATCCATAGTCACGTCAAAAAAATTTAAAAAAAAAGCCATAACCACGTCACAATAAAAATTCATTTTCTTGATGAACCTTGTATGGGGAATCGATCACAACATCGGACACTGTTCTGACTACATCCCCGGTTTTCTCTGAGACTCCACTCTGCATGAAAAAAACTTCAATTTTGATAACCAGAAAAGAGGATATTGACCACAAAACCAAGATTAAAATGTTATGATTTACAAAATTAGTGCAAGCTCAAAATTAGTTATTGCCATAATGGTCTTAGAAAAAAAATGTCAAACGGTCCCTGACTCTGTCAGGGGTGATTTTAGTCTCGGAATTTATATAAGTGTCAATTTAGTTCTCGTTCTCTTTTAAAGAGGCTGAAAAAGTCCCCTTCACCCATATCAAAATATTCCGAGTGCTAATTTGACACTTTTATAAACTCAGAGACTAAAATGACAACATGTAAAAAATCAAAGGACTATTTTGACACTTCCCACAAAAAATAAAACTATTGAAACGCATTTAGATCCCCGTAAATTCATCAAAATAAAATACATGGAAAAAAAAATGAAAACCAGCTGGTTGTTGAAAATTAAAACAAAAAATCAAAATTTTTTCATAGTTTTAATGGCAATGCTTTAAGAATTAATCATCAATAAAATGTGTAAATCAACGCACCCGCCAAAAATACAGAATATAATGCAAACAGCCCATTTGTCAATAGAGAGGGGAGATTCGCAGCACAAGTTCATCAAAGCAAGTAAAGATAGCAGCAGCTATAAGAAAATCTAGTTTACTTTGTAAGATTTATGTCATGCAAGAAGTCGTCAAAGGGATCTGTCGTGTATATATTAAGAAATGCCAAAAACTGATATAGTCGTAATCATGGCATAAATGTAATTAAAACAGAAATAATTCTTGAAAGGTAATGGTAAAATGCTTCTTGCATAGCCTCTAAATTCAACTTAATTTAAACTTATAAATAAATGAATAACCTAGCTTTCTCAAAAAAAGCATCTAATTACACAGTTTTGCTTTCTGTGACTTAATCAAAGGGTCAATATGGTCCAACACAACATTAAAGCAAGTACCAGTAAAAATAATAACCAATCAGTTATGGATCCATGACAGCATTCCAAAAAATTCCTTTCAAATTCTTCTTAATATTCTTATTTTTCATATTTATGTCTAAACCATGGTCATGTGGTTCCAAGAAAATCCTAGTGGAAGTGATTGCAGGAAAATCATAACCTAATCAAAATGCTTAATGTCAATATTTTCAAGTTGAAAGGTAGACACAACAAAGTATGTATATAAATAATATAAAGTATGTATATAAATAATATGAAAAACTTAGACACTTAAAGAGAAATGAACATTGATGTAATTACGACTTCTTTCTAAAATTTTACCAAGTATACTTGATTATCAGCAATAAACCAACATTAGCAACAATTAGACATGATTTTGCCAATATTAGCATTTTACCGTCTACACAAAATACCAAAAGTGTAAAAAAATTATACAATCTTTAAAATAGCTGCACAGAATATAAGCACATTGATGTATCAATAATTGGACCAAACACGTTTTTCGCAATCATCACATCATTCTCATAAAAAAAAAGCAGTGAATACAAATTTATACGTGTTAGACAGTATTGGGAATGTCAAAGGTATACTCTGTCCAGCAAAAACACAAAAAGCTTTTTGAAGTGTCATTTTTAATAATTTTCATAAAACAATGACAATAAAATATCTACCATTGCAAGAAAGTAGAAAAACATCTTTCTTAGAACAATAATTTAGGAAGCTTAATAGAAAAGTGCTTTCACAGGTTTAAGATAAAATATCGCCTTGAGAGCACCCAATTTGTTTGAGGATATCGTTACATCAGACATTATTGTATCTTTCAACCAAAATGAAGCTTCTTAACCATCATTGAAAGATGCTCAGAACCTACCAAGACAAAAATGTTATTTGGCTCAATTTTAATAAGATATCATGGCAATGATAGGCACAAATATAATTATTTAGACAAACTTTGATTTAAGATAGTTGGAGGACGTATCTTTTGAAAGAAAATATATTTGAGATAATACATCACTAAAAGTGACAAATATGTATATATATATTTCGCCAAAATAAAAATTTCATTGACGAGAAGAAGATACAACGGTTTTAGTGAGTAAGTGCTGGAACGCACTCACAAGGCATACAAGACTCAAAAAAATAACAAAAAAGTACAAATATATCCCACAACAACTGGCCGATTTCTCCAAAAGGATAAAATGATCCACCAGAGAGCTTAATCATGATAAGTAGGCTTTCCTCTCTCCCTGGTTCTAGAGTGGGAGTCTAGCACCAAACTATGATAAGGGCTTCCACCAAAAATGAGTAAAGCATCCTCCTGTAAATTCCTGAGTTCATTCAGTCTTTTTTCTTCTTTCTAGTTTTGTAAACTTGCTAATCATCTTCAAAGAATTGTCCCAACTTATTACTTAACTGATCATCAATGGGAGCAATTTTCATCTATTGCACACCTTGAACTTAGCACTCTGCCAAGGTTTGAGGGTCCTCAACATCAGCAATAATTGTTTCCATAGAATATGGAGCATCATCTAGCACTAAAAGGAGAGTATCCTCATTTTTGGCAACATGAGGGGGTTGAGGTAGTGAGGGGTGGTCCTCTGGGGCACAAACAGTGGCAATATCCTCTCTAGTTGTAGTTTCAACCATATCAGCCAGTGGAATAGGTGCCTCTTGAGTAGTTAGATGAGACACTTGAGGTTGGGGTCTCAAATTAGGAGCCTGAAACATCTTTCAAGTGTGTATTCAAAAATCTTACAATGGGTGCAATAGTATGGTCTTTGTTTCATGACAATCTATTGCCAGTACACGTTATGTGCAGTGTCAAGCCAAATTTCTTTAATGTCAGGTAAAGTGATACCTTTCTCCGCAAGAATCCTGACAACAGAAGGTTTAGTGAGATTAAAAGTGGATATGTCTAATTTCATGGGTCTCCCAAGCATTGCCCCAATGGAATAAAGGACCAGATGGTTGAAAAGATGCAATTTAAGCACATGTAACTTGAACCATACTGGTACTGTAGGTGGTTCTTGGTTTGAATCAAATTCAGGAGACCACTTGAGCAACTTCATAGTTTTTCCTTCAATGGTGGGGTATTTCCTGGAGAAAATCTTAACAGTCTTCGTCCATAGTCAATTGTATCATCCATGTCTCCCATCAAAGAGACTCACTTCCATCGTCCTACAAATTTGATATCCTCAAAAGCTTTGTGAATAACCTCCATTTTGGGATGCCATTTTGGGATGCCCTATGCCCTAACTGAAATTTTCCAATGAGTGTGAATTTGCATTTTTCAATTAGAGTAGACACTTCGAGATTTGAAAAAATAAGAGCGGTCTTACCACCCTTCCTACAAGTCCTCTTATCAAACAGACATTCAAATTTCCTTCCAAGAAAATCATGATAGATCTGAGGAAACACTACATGGTCGACTGCCTTCTCAGAGTCTACACCCTTGCCAAGCGCCTTAATACAAGATTCTTTGCCTAGGTACTGATTCGAGGGAGGAACAGTGACAATGCTGTCGTACTCTGATTGAAAGCATCTGAGAAAAAACAAAGAATAAATGGGGAGCTGAAGCCGAACTCCAGAAGGATCATGCTACTGTAAAACTGAGTCGAGGAGAAAGACGGAGGAGGAGCTGATCGTGTCCTAGCTGGGTGTCGAAGAAACGACGAACAACATGGCACTGCTGTCGAGCTGAGTCGAGGATGAAGACGAAGGAGTCGATCCTAGTTGAGTGTCGAAGAAACGATGAACAGGATCGCGCTATTGTCGAGCTGAGTCAAGGAGGAAAACGAAGGAGGAAGACGAACACGCAACCCCTTCCTGTCTTCCATGAGAAGCGACGAAGCTGCTCGACGCAAACCTCTACCTTTCTTCGAGCACGAGGAAGCTACGAACAGGATAGGTTCCCAACTGGCGGGGTATCGAGGACTACTCGAGTTGCCCTATTGTGACGAGAGTAAACCCTAGCAGAGCAAAATCCATCAGGACTAGAACAGTAAGCCTAACGTAGAACTTCAAACTATAACCAATACAATGGGCTTTAAAGAGGTCCCATTAATCATATGTTGCCTATTAAAGTCAATCTATATTCCTCTATCCAAGTTTCGTAATTTAACAAATATAACATAGCATGAAACAGTATTTTTCACTCCCACTCGCTCCACCACATCTTATTTTGGACTTGAAAAAATTATGTAGAATATTTGAAGCTACATATTATGCAATGATTTAATTAACCATCAACATTTTTTTTTGGCCTTATAGATTTTTTACAGGTGGAAATACTCATTTATAATTCTCATATAACTCTCACTCACATAGCACCTCAATTCTACCATGGGTTATTGATGACAAATATTTATGAGCATTTTCTTTTCACTCTCATGGAAGTTTTACATGAGAACTCTAGGATTAGCTTCTTTTTTTTTTTAATAAGGAGAGATTTATGGAAAGCGATATTCTGGAAAATTTTACATAGTAAACTTTCTCAAATAAAAAGATACCTTCTAAATAGACACATTAATGTTTGATAGCTTTCCTAAGCTAGGAATAAGTTATTTTTCACCATGAATTTGATAGCCTTCAATGCTTTCTTTTCCTTGGTTTAATCCAAAGACTCCAAGATGTAGCTTCAAGGCAACCTTAACTAAAGCGAGTCCAAGAAATCCAACCCTTCCTAGACTATAGATAACGTTCTCTTTTCCTTGCCCTACTATATGACAGACTATTAAGAGGAAGGATAACAACTATTGAAGAGAAAATGCATGTAAAACACAATAAAATTAGGACATTGTTCGAAGCACTATGTATTAGGCAAGAAAGGAACCCATAAGAAGCTAATCTATAAATGGTACTATATATCATAAACAATTAATGGTGGCTATATATGAGAAATAATTAACTAAACAACATTCAAAGATAAAATCAATACTTAAGGGGAGATCACCAAAAAGGTTTTTGGGGTAGCGGGGTGTGGGTATATTTGAAATCGTGTAGTTTTTTTAGTAATATGAATGATGGTATAGGTGATGTTAATGAGGTGAGAAAAGAATAGAG